TTTTCAGGGACATGGGCAAGTGCATACACATTTGTAGATTTTTTTCCCCTCCTTTGAAAAAAGCATTCCAACTCTGTGGGATGTCTCAAAGCTTTTCAGTATCTGAATTTCTCTCTACTTGTCTCTACTAAGTACTGTAATCTGCAGGAGTAGACTGTAAACAGGTTGCTTTGGCAAAAAGTGGAAAGGAAATGGTCAATTTAAAGAAATAGTTCCTCTGATAATGAAGAAAAAAACAAAACAATATCTCCTTCTTATACAGAATCTAAATGAACCACTAAGTGAGGTCTGACTCTCTTGCCCAGAGGATACTGTACGTTTTATGCATTGAAAGGAGAAAAGAATAGATTTGCTTTTAGTGCCTGAGTTTCGCCTCCTTCTTTCACCCTAACTTCTCAGGAACCATGGAAACAAATACACCCAGCCTAGATGATGTTTTCCTGATAGTCCTTTGTACCAAACAGTGTGCTGCCTGGAATCCCATGGGGGGGAATGAAATAAAGAATTGGAAAAGAAAAGAGTTATGCCTGCATGTGAAATGCCTTGTCTCTGAAGGACAGAGTGGGGCACGTGTGGAGTTTATTGAGCACTGGGACAATGAGCAGTGTGATATCTATGATGTGTTCATATGCGTCCTCTGTTACGATGCATGACCCATCATGCTGCCTGGAAGGTAGCTCTTGGTTTAGCAGCACTTTGTTAGGAAGGTTTGCTCGTTACCCAACTGCTGGAAGATTTTACTTTTATAAAATTGCTAAGGAGCAATTACATAACATGTAATCACTGGGATAAAACATAAAGGCTCAAAAAACGAGAGAGCGAGAGAGAATCCAGTGTTAGTTATATGATTGTAAGCATAAGAAAAATAAACCAAGAGTTCAGACAATGCACACCATGTTTCCTAAGTCAACTAATCACTGATTAAATGTAATATCACGTGACACAAGGGGAAAACCGAGAGCATTCTTCGAGGGCAGGAAAGTTGAAGTGGGAGTAAAAAAGACCAAACCCAGTTTGAAACATGGAAAGTATGACCATGGCCGTGACAGTCTCAGTGGCTGTCTCAGGAGCTTTCCTGGCGTCTAAGATAATTAAGTGCAGCCTGTTGTATATAGATGCAAAGATAGGATCTTCCTTTCCATTCTGTCATTTTTGAAAAGGAAAAGAGGCCTTGATAAAAACAAAAAACAAAGATAAAATCCCAACAAAAATAACAAAGCATATTACAGCAGCTAGATCGTAAGTAAACCCAGAACTGAAAATTGAAAAGACAATGTACAGGAGCCAGCTGGTTTCCATCTCTCCTTTTTCTTCCACCGTGCTGTGCTTTCTGGGCTATCAGTCCCCTGCATGGTTTTAACACCTTCCACTCCTCCAGCTCTTTTGTTTAGTTCTTCATTTTGTTTTCCTGATTATTATTAAAAAAATTGAATCCAGGATTCCTCTCTACTGCCCCACCATGCAAACACTCTATGACAACGGGCCCATCTTCACCACTGCCTCTTCCCTACACCACCTGGGTTGGGGGTGCCCTGTGTCTCCACAACATTCAAACAACCTTTGGGTCAAGCCTGCTTTCCACTTTCTTGACTGAAAGACTGTGCTCTTGACCATTCCTACCACCGTTTTCTGCCACTCAAAATCCTACTTATCTTTTCAATCCAAGTTCAAAAGAATCAGTTCTGCAGAGTCTTCTAAGGTGTTTCCAGAAGAACTTGGACATTTCCACAGTCTTTTCTTCTATGTGTGTGTGTGTGTGTGTGTGTGTGTGTGTGTTTACACTCCCCATTCTTATACCTCCCTGATGTTAATTAAAACAAGAATCTATGCAGGTGCACTGAGTTAATTTCTCCTTCCACTAGATTGTAAGCACCTCAAAAGGAACTATTAGGCCATGCTTTTTTATGTTGAATTTCACCTATCACACTCACACAATTTTTTTAAAAGCAAGTGGTAGAATTTTAATTTCTTATATAATTTATTGGTGAAAAATAGAAAATAAGCATGGCCAGTCTTGAGAGAACAATAAATAGCAATAGTAGACTCTGAACAAAGAGCTGATTGAGGGTACTGGGGTTTGAACTCAGGGTCTCGCACTTGCTAGGCAGAGGCTCTACCTCTTAAGCCACTCTGCAAGCCCAGTGGAGAATGATGGAGGGGGTAAATTCAACAATGACATATTGTAAGAACTTTTGCAATGTCACAGTGTACACCCAGCACAACAATAAAAGAAAAAAAAAGGATGATTGATTGACTCTTACCAACCAATTAAATCAAAACTAGCTCTGTAAACAATCAGTCACAAAACTCAAAGGGACAATTGCTGGTGAATTAAGCAAATGGCTTCTATCCTAAGGTTTTTAGCCTTTGGCTATTTTTACAAAGGAAAGATAAAGTATTAAACAATTACCCAGTCAATGCCACCAAATAAAACTGCCAATGTGGAAAGGGGTAGGGAATCAGAATTATTCTGACACTCCCAATTCTCACTGTGGTGTGAGGTCAAACACATGGATTCACTTTTCTGTCTCTGTGTCCATAGGCCACAACCGCAGCAAATAATCACACCCTGCTGGATTCCAGGAGTGTGGCCAGTCTTTTCTATGATGGAACCTGCTAAGTATTATTATGAATACAAAAAACTGCACGCTGTCTTTTGGAAGAATGAAGCTGATATTCATGCCTGTATTTGTGTCCTGAGACATCCCAGGGAAAAATTATTCCAACCGTGGACCTAATTCCATGAACAAAGGAGATCCCTGAGAACAAAGTTTTCCTGGCAGTGAAGACAAACAATACATGTGGTCCATGAGCGTCTTCCTCTCTCTGAAATATCTTGCTAGGACTCAGTCTAGGCAATAGAAAACCAATTCATTCTCATGATAAATTCTGCCCTCCTATCCCTTCTTCTTTCTACCTCCCCCACTTTCTTTTTCTCTCTCCCTCTTTCTCTCTCTCTCTCTCTGTGCTCTCACTCTTGCTGTCTTTCTCTCTCACAAAATACTAGGTATTAAACATTGAGTCTCAAGTTTCAATCATGTCTCTAGTTTAAGGCAGTTCAAATGGACAAGGACAGGCCTCTTCCCTGCTCTCTCTCACACTGCAATTCTAATGGCCATGAAGCATTTAGTTTATCGTGTATTAATTCTCTGAAGACAACATGAGCCACCCACCAAGTCAATTCACTCCTTTTAACAAAGCTAGTTTGTCAAAGATTCATGGGCACTGACAATTTCTCTACTCCCTTTTCCTTTCTTGTTCTAAGGTCAATCGTAGGTTCATTATTTGGCTAGATACTAGGCCAAGTCTTTGGATATGTTATTTCATTTAACCCCCACAATGCATCTATTAGGCAGATTACTATTATTCTTATTCTAAAGATGTGCCAAGTGAGGCTTAGAGAGGCAAGTCCCCTAACCAAGGGTTCTACATTACCGTGTCTAATGGTCTTCCCAGCACTTTTGGTAAAGTTCCCTTCTTGAGAATGGAATTGATTCCGTTGAAAGGAATCCATAGCTTTTAGAGACCTCTTATGCACATTCATCTTTGTAAAGAGCCATTCACCTGTGATGATTTTCTATCACCATTACTTGTACAGATTGTTAACATTTGTTTTGTTTTGTTTTGGCTGACACTGGGTTTGAACTTGGGACCTCATGCTTCCTGGGCAGGACTGTTAACATTTGAGGGTTAAAAGAGCTAAAATCACATGAGAGTAAAACCTCATGAATCCCAGGTTCAAAGTCCCTGAATTTACACATCTTTCTGAAGCATATACCCCCCTTCTTTCCATCTGTGGAAAGCTGATGTGTACTAGTTGTGTGGTAACACAGCTCCAGGACTGGTCAGAGAGACTCTTTGGAAGGAAGGGTGCTGTCTTACAGAGGCCAATCCACCATGTGTACCTCCTTCCCAGAGGAAGGATAGACTCGGCCAATCCTTCATCTGCAATTTCATCTTGGATTCTGGTTCTCCAACACTCATCCCAAAGTCTTATGAGTTGTTTTGAATATTAAAAACAAAAACACTCCCTAGTCACATGCATATTTTTAATAACACAATGAGATGACAAAGAGGCAAAAACACTAAGTCAACATGTTATCTCTTTCACTCTGTAGTATTAATGAGGGCCATGCACACACTACAAGGAAGACACAATCTAAGAAAAGCAAGTGGGAAAGGGGCGAAGTTTATTAAGTGAAACCTAACAACTGCCAGAACAACAGTGCAACATTTGTTGTGAGCTCCCTCCTGCCCGTGGCCCAATGGCTCCCAAGTATCCATCTGTTGAAGAACTTTTGGCCTGTGCTTCAACATCAGAACACTGAACTGGTCTCCTTACTGTCCCAAAGAAATTCATACAGAAGACTATGAAAATGTCCTCCTTGTAGCCTTCTTTGTTTGGAACAATGGGAAATATGAGAGGGGAAAGGTACCTTCTCATCCCCAGAACCCCAGCATAATAGCAGGGGTTATGACCCAAAGGAGTTTTGACTTTGTATGGTGCTTCGTGCTTTTTAAAATCATTTTCATACATTATTTTAATCAATTCATATAATAGCTTTCTTGTTTACAACTAAGAAATACAGCCCACAGAAATGTGCCCAGGATCTTAGGGCTAGGCTGGGACAACTGTGGCTAGAATCCAGATGGCATGGTTGGCCCATTCTTTCCAGCAGGTCTTGGTTCACTCTCTAACTTTTTGCTCCATATTCAGGTTGCTTTGTCAGTTAGCAATGCCATCTAACTACACATTGATTTCAAAAGAAGAAAAACACAAATCCTTCATTGACATGTATATGTAGATACAAAAATAAATGTAGCATTCTTCTTTATTGCTTTTTTTTTTTTTTTTTGTTAATGGATGTCTTTCCCAGATGAAAAGGCCCTGTTGGGGAAGTTTGTTGATCTTTTATTTCTAGGTACATATAATACTCCCTAGTAATAGCACAGCCTTCACACCAGGAAATTATATGCTAAATATTTCCCACTGTCTCACAGCTTGGCCTGTCAATTTCTCCCAGATGTCAGACATCTGAGTGAGTGCAACAACACACAGCAAATTCAAAGTGATTTTTTCAAGATGTGGAAGAGGACAGCTGTCCTCAGGAGTCTGTCATAAGTCCAGCTCTGGGCATCCACATTTTCCAGAACCCCCTTCCAACTCATCTCCCCATAGCTTTTAATGACAAAAAAAGTGTCCAGGAGGTTGACCAGATATCTGCATAACGTACGAAGCCTGAAGCCATGAAGAGTTAGTGATGGCCCCATGCAATGTGATCTGAAATGGTTTTCCAGACCCTGCTGGCAGAAACCGGGGCAAGATCCACTCTCAAGTGTTTTCAGCTGAATGAGGATGTCACAGGAAGATGTCATCTTCAGTGTGGGGCTGCTGTTCAGGGTGGTATCCGGGCACCACTGAGCCCCTCGACTTTAGCAAAATACAGCAGAAATCCTGCTCACACCGTTTCTATCTTGGGAAGAGTCACTGGCCCCAAATGTTTATTTGGGGAAGTGACTGGAAGAAAAGCTTGTTCTGCGCCAGGTTTAGAAAAATCTGGGAAAATACTCTGTAGTCGTGCAAATTTCTGAAAAAAGTAAAATAAAAGAGACAAATTGAGAAGTGAATGATTGCGACGATGCAGCAGTTGTCAACCCTCACTTGACTGCCATTCTCTAAGAACTCTCTGGGCATCTCATTCTGGAAGCCCTTCTTATACCTGTCACCTCATTCACTACAAATTTGGGCCAGGAGATTCACTACTTACAAACTTCAGTAGTCACAAGCCTCTACTATTAGAGATCTGTGTGGAAAGGCAGTGCCCATGGAAGCAGGCATTTGCCAACAAGAAACTAAAGTTTTTAAATTTCTGTTTTTTTAAATTTACTGTCTTGTAATTTTAATTATCTTCTTACATGCAACTAACCCTAATAACAAAACTGTAAGCTCTATGAGGGCAGGAATAATGTCTTAACACCTTTTTATAGCCTCTAGAGTTTTAGCAGTGCTTTGTATTCAGGAGGTGCCCACAGGAGCCTTTTCTTTGCTTATATCTGGGTTTTTTATTTTAAAATCTTATAAAATAAAATAAATAAAGCAAGGAATTTATTTAAGATTGCTCCACCATTTATTTAAAAGCAAGGCTTTATTTAAAGAACTTGCCTGACATGGATGAGGTCCTGGGTTTGAGCCCCCCCAAAAAAAAGGAAAGGAAAAAAATTACTTTAAGAATTCTTTTCAGATTAATTGACATAGGTCATTCTTTGAGAACTTGAAAACATCCAGAAAAGTCATGGGTATTGTAAAGGTATAATTTCTCATCTTGGTCTGATTGTAAAAGACTATATTTCATCTTGCTCTGATATTTATTTTGCTTTTTAATAAGCTTTTTGAGCTACATGTAGTAATTGTACAGATTTATGAGTCTGTTAATCTATGTCTAAAATAGCAATCAGAGGGATAGTCCATAGCCAAAGAGGCAAGTGAGTGAATACAGGTCACAGTGTGTGACAAGAGCTGGTCCTAAATTAGATCCTGGGTGAGTCTATTCTGGTCCCTGTGGAGCTGGGGAGCCAGCTCTCCCTGGTGGTACTAAGACATATAATGAAGATACCTTCCTAGTGGGTCAGAGCTTCAACTACCCTATTCTGCCATGACCATGGTCAGCCCAGGTGCACAGCCATACAGAGAGGATTGGGGGAGCTTCAAGCTAGACACTGAGACTCCAAGGCCTTTGGCTCTTCAAGAGCATCTTTTGGTACTTCTCAAACACTCTTCACTGGTCTGATCCCATTTTCTTGTCACAAAGCTCCAGGTGTAGCCACAATTGAAAGCGAGCTGGGGAGGCTGTAGAAAGCTTCCTCTCATGATTTCTCAGTACAGGGGGCCTCAGTGAGTCCAGGCTTCACAGCATCATCTCCCTTCCCATTACTAATGGTAATACATATACAAAATACAATATGTATTGGGATTGGTGGCCCCCGGTGGCTTTTTCATAGTAATAAATGTTTTAAACAGATACTTACACAAGTGAAAATGATGAGTGTTAAGTAGAAAATGACCAGAGAGGAGAGCAGTACAATCTCAGCTCTATACTTCTTAAAAGTTGTTTCTTTAGGTCCCTGGGGGCATCCTTTTAAAAAAGAGAGAAATGTATGAAGCCATTTAACAGAAATTTTCTACTGTGATGAAAACCTGAGAATGTTTCATTCCTAATTCCTCTAGGAAGTCCCCACACCCATCCTCACCTCTGTCCAGGAAGAACCACAGTCATGGTTAAAGTAACAGCAGTGAGTGTTCACTGTGACTCTGTGCTGGCTGAGTGCCACCGATATGTACATGGCGTCTCCTGAACTTTCAGAGCAGATCTGAGAAGTTCTATTTTACCAATAAAGCAGCTGAGCTCAGAAAAGCTAAGGACAGGCAGGTGGCAGGGCCAGGCACCCAAGCTTCTCCTGCCACCTGTCTGCTCCCAAGTCAGATGCCAGGCCTTTCCTGGCTTTTGTCTTGACATCAGATGAACCATCATTGGTTAGTACATAAGTTACATTGACTTCTTTAGGTTAAGAAGACTTGGGGACTATGAAATGGGGTAGCAGACCAAAAAAAGCAATGCACTTTGGGAAAACCACAGCTCTCCCACCAAACTGGGCAACTTAGGCAGCAAAAAACAGCTCTCTCCTTGATGTGGCTGCAGCACTTGGAGGAGGAAGGGCCCACCCAGGAAAAGCCAGGGAGGGAAAGCCTCTTTCTATTCAGGTGTCAAATCCAGCGGACTATGGCTACGTGGGTAAGCAAGTTTGCCTTGCGCTGCAGTGAGGCTACTAACGGCTCTGCTTAAGGGCCCAGGTAGAGCAGTTGGTAGCAGCTGTTCCCAGGGAGTTCCTCCCTGAGGCCTATGGATTTAGAATTAGACTTGAAATTCCATCCAATGATCTGAGATGGATTCTCTTAGGGGTTTATAATTCAATGAAAGAGATCAAAAGCCACTATCCTATTAGTCCCTAACATTGATTGAGCATTCAGTCTACCCTAGGGATAGCGCTCAGCATTTTAATGCAATATCTGATTTAATATTAGCATCAAGCCCGAGTGTAGAAGTTATTGTTCCCATTTTAGAGACGAGAGAATTGAGGCTTAGTGGGGATCAGTGCTGGGTCCAAGGCCACATGCTAATGAGCAGCAAACCTAGCAATTGAGCAAGGGTCAAGTATTCCACTGTGACCCCTTCATTTGTAGACAGCATTATCTTGAAAGAGGAAAAAAAGAGGAATTCATTTCCTCTCTGCTTCCCACGGGACGTCTGCTCATCTTGGCTCTTCCCTGAAAGGCTGCTCTCATTTCTTATCCATTGAGGGCCTACTGTAGGATGAGACAATAGAGAACAAGACAGAAGATCTGTGTTCTCTTGGGGGAGCCGGAAGTAAACTGATCCATACATAGCAGGTCAGGTTCAAAAAGTGTCATGAAGACAAACAAACCAGGGCAAAAGGCTGCAGATTAAGGAGGGTGCAAGGTATGTATGTGTCACACACACAAACAGCGAGCAAAATGCAAACACTGCCCCTTTAAACAGAATTATGTATGTTGAGCTAAAGAATATTATTTTGACTCTGATGGCTTTCAGATAAGGAGAAACTAGGTATTGCACAAAATCAAGAGTTTATGGTCTGTTGGTGACCAGGCATGACCCTGGACTGGGAATAATGGAGTTTGCACAGCCTCTCCATGTAGGAGTTTGCACAGCCTCTTCTACCATATTTTTCCCAGTACTTCCTAGCTTGACCTTTGTTCTCACATCTCCTTGAAGAATACAACCTGCTGTGTCCGCATACCAGCAAAACTAGATAAAGTACCAGAACTGTTAGGAGACTCGCTGATGCCAGATTAATCAGTACCTTAGATAAGGTGTCCTGAGTGCCTTGATGGTTCCAGAACTGATGTGCTGTAATTAAGCTTCATTAGCCTTAGGAAAATTAGCCCACCAAACCTCATTCCTTTCACCTTGCATCAAGAATTGTTAAAGCTTGATTTTTACCTGAGTCTTTTCCTTGTACTGACCTATAAAATAAACACTCTGGCTCAGGTAGGCGCTCACGTTTCCCATCAGGAACGTGCAGCCTTCCCGTCCCCAGCTCTTCTGTTTTATGTTGTATGTCTGTATGTTTGTGTGTGTTTTATTTCTCATTCCCCCGTTGCTCTTAGGCTCACACAGCATACCCACGAAGGCCGGGGCAATGGTCTACATAATGAAATGCACTGAAAGCTGTTGAACAATATGGGGTAGGGGAAAGGGAAGGAAGAGTAATAGAGGAAGTCTGACTAATTAAAGTATGATAGATGTATTTACAGGTGAAATACCAAGGCAAGACCCCCCCTTGAACAATGAAGGACAGGAATGTAAAACAGGTTATGTTATGCGGAGGGGTCATGTTAGGGGAGGTTATAAATGGGAGGGGGAGGGCAAATGAAGAGGGTAAAGGAGGGTGAAAATGGTCGGTGTACTTTCTATATGTGTTTTAAGATGTAACACTGAAACCTGATGAAGTCATTTTAAGAAGGGGAGAGGGAGATGAGGGAGAATAATGGTGAGGAAGAATCTAATTGAGGTACAGAACCCCCCTGTACAACTATTATATACTAATGAAAAGGTCAAAAATGTAATTATAAAAAAGAGTTCATGGAAAACATGTTTGTCATTTCCAGCCTTAGTCTGTAACAAGTGTTAGACAAAAGTCAATGTATCATTTAAGCCGTCTGAAGAAAAAGTGATGACGTTCTTGCAGAGGAATTCAGCTGCCAGCCACAGATGTGATCCAAAGCTGGAGGCTGAGACTGAGAAAGAGAGGATGGATTGATTTCAGGACCTAGGGAAAGTGCATACCGATCCTTCAAGAAGAAAACAAGAGCAGCAGGTCAGCTCACCTGTCACTTTCAAAGTCACCATGGCACTGAAGTTTCTCTGCCCTCCAAGCTCCTGCAAGGTGCACCTGTATGTCCCAGAGCTGCAGATGGTAGTGTTTTGGATCTTCAGAGAATAGTGGTTTTTCCTGGGGTCCTCAAAAGAGCCATTTTGCCCCTTGTGATGATAGCGCAGCCCACTGAGGTGCAGGCCTTCCTGGGGGACTTCCAGTCTCTCCTCGCCACCCTCCGTGAGCTGTGAAGAAGCAACCACAGTGCATCACACTCACTGGTCAACCCTGCAGGCTCTGAACTTGTACCAAGGCTTTACAACTTGTTTTCATAAAAACATCAAAAATCATGCTTCTAAAGCAAGATCCAGTGCTTTTTTGTTGTGTATGAACTCTGGGGAAGGAGAGAATCTATGAAGGCTATATTTTCTTTGAAATAAGATCTGGCCTGTATTTTGCAATTCTAAAACCATATCCTAACTTCCACTCTATAGAAGGGAGAGAGTGTTACTATTGACTATGGTGATGAATATGAATTACTTTGTACTCAATCCAGGTGCTGTTATTTCTATACTAAATGATCTAGTTTCCTTCAGATAGCAGCTCATCCACTGACTGATTCTTAACTTTGATTGCCAGCCTTTTATTTGGAAAAGTTCTTAAGTCTGTTACGATCATTGCCATCTGGGTACCAGTGGCTCATGCCTATAATCCTAGCTACTCAGAAGGCAGAGATCAGGAGGATCAAGGCTCGAAGCCAGCCTAGGCAAATAGTTTTCGAGACCCTATCTTGAAAATACCCAACACAAAAAAGGTCTGGTGGAGTGGTAGAGTGCTCAGGTGGTAGACTATCTGCCTGAGTTCAAACCCCAGTACTATACATCATCACAAGACAACTCATCTTAAACCAGAGGTGCAGATGAGCAGTTCTTCCTGGCAACAGTCACCCTTCTTCAAAGGCTATGATGTGCATATACCCATGTTGCAGAAAATGCTGCCTTTTCTCTCTGCTGAAGAGAGAGTCGTGGAGGTTTCATGGGTCAGACCATGCAGTAATGACATCAAATTACCCTTGGAAGGGCAGTAACAGTCTGCCTCTCTCTACCCACCACAGGCCAGCCCAATTTAGCCAAGCAATTAATCTGGCTGGGTTTCTCTCCCTGAAACTATCTTTGTGATTCAACTGGTGGGGTGTTTTCAGCATCTAACTCTTCAGAGATGTGGCACACACCACATTCACCATCACTTCTCTCTTGCGTGGCTGTATTTCTAATTTGCCTGATGAACTCGCCAATTGCTCCTCCTCGGAAATGTGTTAAAGTTTCTAAAATGGATTTGCACCAACAGTAAAACATATCGATGCTTTCAGTGCTCATGGTAGCCCTTCAACATGGGCCTCCCTAGCAGTACCTGAGCTGAGAACAGCAGGGAGCCCTGGGTCAAGTGGCCTCCCTTATCTGTCCTCAGCATTGTAACATCACCCAAGAGCCACCTTAGAGAAAGACAGATTGGCTATGTCCTGTGTGGGGAGCATTCTGCAGCTCTTCTTTGATGTCTAGAAAGGACTCAGCAGGGAAATGCATAGCCAAGGGATTGGGGGACACCCTATAAAAGAAACACACACACACACACACACACACAAACTCTCTAAACTCCTTTCCCTCTCTCTCAGCTTAATTTATGAAGCCAAGGCCAGCACTACAAGGTCACCCCAGCTCAGGCCTCAGCCTTTGGTGGTTAGTAGTTCCTGTAGAGTGGGCTACAGAGACCTCTGCTGGCAGATTTCTGGCTCACTCCTAGCATGAGGCAGAGAAGAATTCCTTTTTTCAGGCAGAGTCTGAACATAAATCCCATTTCTGGATGGTCCCTCGGTTTCTAAAGGTTCCTTCCTAAATAATCAAGAGCTACAAAAGGAAGCCAAATGACTGGGGCCTTTGGGTGTTCAAAAATAAAACAGAGAGGTGGCTGAAGATCCTTCCATGAAACGAAAGGCATCCAACTGATTCCAGAACACGTTGAAGTGAGCACAATATTCCCTTTCCGAGCCCAAGTAAATCACACACTATCCACTTCTCTCCCCACCCCCGCCCTCGCTCCACAGCCCAGCAGAGGACTTCTTCCTACCAGGCAAAGTTCCGGCTAACAGTGCACAGCCAATTGGTGCCACTTGCCCTGCATGGCCAGTTTAGACTAATTAACTCATCTCAGTCTCTGCAGGACTTATGCCAATGCTCCATCCCACTCTCTTTCTAAATTAACCTCCAAATGTAAATGCAGCCGGGATGACCTACCTCGGCTTTTCTCCTGAGAGCTTCTAGCCCATCCAGCCCCCTCTCCTTCAACTCAGAATAGCCCATCAGAAAATCAAGATTAAAGTTTGCAGAGCCCCCTGGGGCTGGTGGAAATGATAAATGATGGTGTCTATGGATGGCCCCATTATGGAGGCAGCTGCTGGGAATGATGAAGCAAGGAAGTGTTGGAGACAAAACTAGCTGGCAGTAGCCTTCCACCTATCTGAAGAGGAGAATTCATTTTAAAACTCGGCAGTTATACAACAAGGAAGTTTATGAGACGGTCCATGGTCTCTGGCAAATTTCCAGCCTTTGGTTATTTTTAAATGGCAACAATTAAAGGCAGTATGGAACCATAAGAAGGACAGGAAGAAGAACTGGGGAGAAATGCTAAACAAGGAACACGAAAGCAACCTCCTTCAGAATTCTGATTTGTTGACTCATCAGAGCCATCAGCAAGATCACTGCAAAATATCTCAGGGTTATCTTCCAAAGACCTCTTCTGAATGACACAGAGAGCTAATGGCATACCTGAGAGCTCTTGCCAAATGTTTGGCTGGCGCGCTTGGCTTTATAACTAACTGCAGTAGTGCCCCTTCCTCTCCAAGGCGGATGCATTCCGAGACCCCCAGTGGAAATCTTATAGTACGTATAAGAACCTTATACGTACTATGTTTTCCCTACATATACACACCATTGACCAATTTAGGCACACATTTTTAATTCATGTCTTCCACCCACCAATCAATACCTTGTACATCTCTCATCTAAGCACTTATCACACACAGTGTACATAACACTTACAGTCTCAGGCGTAACAATTCCCTTCTCCACAATTTCAGGCATAAAAGATTCATTCTTGCCATAGATTTTAGCAACTTCAGTATAAGATTTATTTTTTTCTTATTAAGTCAAGGATTTTACCCTTCCACTTGAAGGAAGCATTTTACAGCTTCTCTTTGGCATACCCGAACTATCAGCATCACTAGTCTTGTGCTTTAGGATCATTATTAAATAAAATATGGAATACTTGGACATAACCACTCTGAAGCCATGATAATCCATCTGAAGCAGCTATGATGTGACTACTAGGCAGGTAGCATACACAGTGCGATACACTGAACCAAGGGACGATTCACATTGTAGGCAAGACAAAACGTGAGGTTTCATCAAGCTATTCACCATGGCAAGCAATCGAAACTTGCAAATCTTTTATTTGTGGAATTTTCCATGTAATATTTCCAGACTCAGGTTGATCATGAGTAACAAGAATGGAAGAAAGTAAAATCATGAATAAGAGGGGACTGCTATGTAGCAAAGAGGACCTTCTGCAAAAGCACATAATACACCTGCAAATATTTCATAACCCTTCCTCTAGTTTCAAGTTCTAGGTATTTGCAAGGTCTATTCCCCTTCCTTTTGCCACTTTAAAATACACTATCTCATGTGACTCCACCTGAGTAATCTGGGATGTGTTCACTGCTGCAGAAGAAATGGTTTTTATGTTAATGTTTCCTGCTGAAAGTGGGGTAGGGCACTAGCAATAGGTACCAAGGAACTTGTTATGCAAACGTTCACATGGTTCTCAATAGATATGTGTCATGTGAGTCAGCTGTGGCAGAAACAGCACCAAGATCTGAAGGAGAAGGTTCAGAGGAAGGGGAGTGCGAAAGCAGCAAATGGGCAGTTCTCAACTTTGCTTTGTTTTATGAGTTCTATAAGCATTGGAACTGGCTCAAAATCAACCACTGGCAAGAATGGCTTTTTAAACATTCCAAGTCTAAAAGTGTTTCATTGCTTCACTGCAAAAGCATTCTAGGAAATAGTAATTTATAACAAAGGGAAGCTCAGATTCATTCACAGCCTAGCATAATTGATGGGAACTATTTAATGCACACTTCACGACGCTAATATTGGAGTACAATGTGCCGAAGCACAACACAATTTGGGCAAATTAATTCCTCAAGACACACATCCCAATAATGTTTTAAAAATCTACACTTTGTGCATTAACTTCCATGCTGATAACTCTGTTTTCTGACTGAATCAGAAAAGAGTAAAATAGAGGATATCTCATTTTAGAAAGCCTAGGGACTCTGACTTGTCTCAAGACCTCCAATTTGACTAAATAACTTAAATACCATATTCTTTCTCTGAAATAAAGATTTGACCTTAAGAAAACCACAAGCCCTAAATTAAAACAAACTCTCTTTAATTCACTGAATACTACATCAAGCAAACACAAGTACTAATTTTAAAGGCACATGAATTAAACAGATTTTTTTAAATGATGAACAAATTTGAACTAGAACAAAAGAAATTGAATGAATAAATATGGCTGGACTTGAGCCAACATTTCAATCAAAAACTATTGTAGCCAGTGCTTTTAAAAAAAAAAAAGCTTATATAATTTTACACAAATACATGCCAACCTCATAGATTACCATATTCAAATGTAAGAGGGCAATGGTTCCATTCCTATAGCAAAGGTTTTGATCACAAACTCGAAATCCAGCTACATTTTAGCAGATACATTAGATCTGCTAAAAATGTGATATAAGCTTAACAAAAGAAAAGGACGAGATTTCTTTTGAGAGGAAAAGATGTGTGTATGTACATAGGCATATAAACATTTCACTTAACAATTGGACAAAACACATTTAAAGGTCTTTAAGTATTTAAGTATTTAAAGGTTGCATTAAATTAATCTGATATATTCCAAGCACATTGGAACAGCTTTTTTCTTTATTGCATCTCTTGTGCACTAACATTCATGTACCTTGGTTTCTAACTCAATTAAAGTGCCAATATAATCCCCATTCATCATAAAAACGGCTTTTATAACGTGCAAAATAGTTTGGCTGGGAGGTTGATGTCATAATGAGGGTAGAATGTATGAACATTAACATCGGTTTTTTTCTAAGCGTAGTTTTATTAGAAAAATGATTTTCCAC